TTCTAAGAAGCACCAGATAGTTCACTATACAAATGTAGCAACACTGAGTTTGGGCTTATCCTTGTTATTTGCACCACCCTGTCATTACATGTTTTAGGAAACAGGGGAGAACACAGTTGCTGTCTTAATTTACTGTCAAGTAAGTCAAGTAGTGCAAGAGAGGCTAGTCAGCCTTCACTGATTAAAATCTATGCAGCTTTTTTTTTTAGTATAGATTATATTAAAGCAATGAAAACTTAGACTCTATGTCAAGGTCGGCTGCATCTCGGAGCACTGCACGGCTTTCCAAGGGAAAAAGGGGAAGCGTGCTCAAAGTAAAGGGTACAGCATCACAGTTGTCTCTTTTATCAACAGCTGCTGCTTTGCTTAGTAAATGTATTTTTAAATATGCTTAATCTAAAATATGTTTTGAGAAAACCTCTTCAGAGAAATAAGACAGTCGGTGTGATGGATTAAAGCTTTGTATTTGGATCGAGGCTACAAGTCTTTTACTATGACATATTTTTCCTTGTTTGTGACGGCTTTCTTCAATTCAGATGTAAATTATCTCCAAGTTTATTCAGCTAAGCCAAATCTAATTGCATATATTTCTATAAAGTAACTCTACTTTTGTTTGTTGCTCAAGTTGAGTGTATTACCTGTGTAACCCAGAGATATTTCAATAGGTAGAAAGGATTCACTGTATTTGTTTGTGTGTCACTCTGAAAATATAGTTTTTTAAACAGATCTGGTACTTTACCAGGTGTGCCTTTAAGTAATTTCTATTGCATTTATACTTTAGGGGGATTAGGAAAGAGAGTAAAAGAACCCTTTGTCCGTTAGATTCATTAAATGTATTCATGCGTGTGTAAGTGGTATAGAGGCTGTGCTACTTGGGAATCAGATCCTTGTCCTAGGGTGGAGAGAAAGGTGAAGGGTGTGATATTTACAGCTTGTGTAAGTGTCATAATAATTGTGTATTTGATTCTTTATTTTTAAATTACCTTCCTGGGCACTAAGCCATTTTTTTTTTGTATTTATCTTTTCCCCGCAGAGTTAGGGAGGGTAAGGAACCACACCTTGTAAGTGGTAAAAGTACAGCTGCTCAGGATGTGTGTAATAGAACAGATAGGTCAGCAAAGGTGAGGACAGAAATAACCCAAATGTTATTCTAGAAGGAAAAAGACTTTGCTATAAAAATGTGTTAAAATGTTTAAACTAGCATGAGTTTTCATTTTTGGGTTATCTAAAAACCCAATTAATTTATTCAGAATGAAGTGTAAGCAGCTACAACATTCTTACAGGAGTATAAGAGTTAACATCGCTACCTTGTGCCTTGCAGAGCCATAAATAAATTGAAATTCTAAGTGCCTCAGAAGTGCTTCAACTAGCTAGTGCTTAGTTGGAATAATCACCACAGAATTAACTTAAACAAATACTTATTTAAATGATAACCTCATGGCACCAAACTGACATTGGTTGTGTAAGAAAGCTCTTTAAAAAAACGAAGCCATAGCTGCAGTGCACCAAAACCTAAGGTCCCATAAAACTGAATCCATAGTTAGAATAAAAGATTGGTTTATCAGCTTTAAACCTATTTCAGTGAAAGCAGCTCAATGGTGAGATCTAACACTGGCAGAAATAAAGTCCTGTAGCACCTCTGGTGATGTTGCTGAAGGGAGGGCAGTGTTAAGGTTTGCACAGAAAGTCATTTGCCTGAAGATAAAATCTCCTGGGGCACTCTCTGTGTTCAGGGCTTTGGGAAAGCCCTGAGTGCACCTGTGTGGTGTTGTACAGGGTTCTGTGAACTAGAATGTCAGTAATGCTGCTGTCACTTGTGTTACACTCTCAGCTCCTGGACACTGAGTCCCTCCTCTGCCACCCTCCTCACAGGATAAGCTTGGAACGCTTTACAAGCATAAAACCTCTTTTCAAGGGGTTTTAGTTCATGTTCCTTTACAATATGAAGTATTAGGCACTAGCAAACCCACAAAAGATTTGATAAATACATTCAGCTGGTTTCACAGAGTGATGCATGAGGTGACTCCTAGAGCTTACAACTGGAGAAAGTCACTTACTGTAGGACTTGAAGATACAGATAAAAATGTTTCTTTAGCATTTGTTAAGGCCTTTAACTAATGCTGATAGTGAATTTTGCAGCCTTAATCAAGAAAATGTTCATTCCGCCACAGAGGTGGAAGGGATGAAATCAGATTCTATATACAAGTGTACTATAGTGATTTTCTGTGTAATTGCTAACAACATAGAATAAATCTAGAATACATAGAATAAAACTAATACACAGAATAAAACTAATAAAGGTGTAGGGCTTTGGGACAGTGTGAACTTATATCATGTGCAGGGCTGTTTGAAGAGAGCATCATGCAATGGCATCAGAGCCAAAGGGTGTCAGCTTTGAAGTGGGCTCCAGAATTTAAAGGAATGGTAATGAAACAAGCCATGCAGATACACATTTAAAGACATTCTATACTTTTCATTATGAAATAATGCACATAAATATAAGTGAATGAGGTTCGGTACAACATTACACTGAACACACCTTTGCAGGCTACAGCTCTTTCCTTTGATCTCTGTTATAGATCATTCCTTGGTTTCTAACTCTCCTTTAAAATACTGTAAGTTAGAATGCATCTTAGGTCTTATACTTCATATATTTACAAGAGAAACCATTTCTTTTGTTAGGAGGTGTGTTCACTAATAAGGCTTCTCTTCTTCGTAGTAAACAACATATTTACAAGCCAGAAATAACAAAGTAGAAGCTGCAGAAGGGTTGTGGTGTGATAATTAAGTACAATGGCGACCCATATGAACAGAAAATGCCAAGGAGCTAAAACAAAGCAACAACAGCTTTGTTTGTTGACAGATGTAGGAGCCATATTGTTAGTTAATTGGGTAATGGTGTAAACATTTGCAAACTCTGCTGTCCCTCAGTGAATTAAGCGGCACACTGAAATTATGGTGAAAAGCTGCACAGTCCTTGTGCTGCAGGTACTCCAGAAGGCTCCTAGGACCTTTCTCACAGAGGAAGGAACATCATGTGTTGTTGTTATTTGAGGCACTTGAAGTTTGCAAACCTTAGGCTAGGAGATGTATCTTGAATTACACTCAAGTGAATAGCACATTTCCATATGGCTACAGCCTGGAAGGTTGTGTTTGGTGCCTAGGCATACTTCTGAGATTTTTTTTTTCCAAGTGTAAAAGAGATGTGTTATGACTTTCCTGCCTTTTCTTGAAGAGAAAAAAAAAAAAAAGCAAATTAAAAATCCCAACAAAATGGTTGCAGGATTTGAAAACAGAGATGTCTAAATTAATACGGGCTTGTACTGAAAAGAAGGAAAATTGCCTCTCTCAGGTGCCCAGTGCCTCAGAAGCTGTGAATTGCACAGACCCCTCTTTACCTCACTCCCTGTTCAGTAACAGACTGTAGCAGAATAGCAAAACATTAAAAAATGCTACAAGATACTTAATTAGCATACTTCTGTAATCACAAACTTAAATGCACTACTTTGGCTGTTTTTTACATAACAGGTTTGCTTTTGTAGATAATAACCTTTCAATAATTCAAGCAGCATCTGTGCAGGAATGCATAATTGGACTGTAGATAATAGGAATCTAGAATTGAGTCTGATTTTTGTAAATTATTTTTCTCTTCAGACATTTAGCAGTAGCTCACCACAGTACCTGAAGTTTAAGAAAATACGTTCCTGCTTTGGGAATAAAAATAATGCATCTGTTTGGTTTTTGGGTTTGGTTTGAGTTTTTAATTATATAATTTAAAAAAAAAATCTGCTGCAGTCAGATGAAATTACACTGATTTTGATGGTCTGAGGAAGTGGTAAGTCTTGAATGTTTGTTTAAATAATATTTTTTCCTTCATTATTCAATAAGACTATAGAAATGCAAATATATTTCAAGTTTGCCTGATTTAGTTGGGGGGAGAGAATGAGAAGCAATACTATTTTTGTTAATAGGTAACAGGATTAGTAATTGGGCTTTTAAGAAAATTACATGACCATTTCTTATTAATTCAAAGCATTTAATGTGCTGGACCCTTAGTGTTTTCAAAAAACATTTTTAGAAAGCAGTGGCATGCTGTGATCATAGATGAAACAAACTTAACTTTGGAAAAAATGCATAAATTGCATTTCTACCTATGGCATAAGACCAATAATTTGTTATTCACAAGCAGACTTCCGGTAACTGGTGTACTCACAAACCAAAAGAAATGAAAGCTCTGTTACCAGGGAAAATGAGTTCAAAAATTGAAATGAAATATTTCAGGAAATGGTTCATCCTTCTACATGAGGCTTTGCAGTATTTTGAAGGATGTCACAGCACTGGCTTGTAAACTTGAATGTCAGAAGGACACTGGGACACTTGTTGTCATTAGTTTGTCTATGTAAGTAAATATATTGTGTAATAACCACACAGTTAAATAGTTTTGTCCCAGCCTGGGATGATTGAGGTGTCTGGAAAGCATTGAAGTGAGTGAAAGCTGGGTGTTCCACCACGTGACTTGGAGCAAGAAAGGGAGTAGGAAAATAGTTTGCCTTTTCGATGGAGAGATCCTGTTGGGTTGGCTGTGCCGCTTGCACCATCAATTTGACTGAAATTTTGGGGTGATTATATAGGAGTGCAGTTTTATTTTTTCATCTTAACTCATATGTTCTAGTAAACCTTCCAAAAGTTCTTAACTTTGACAAAAATAGATTTGTGCCTTAGTTTATGTAGAGAGCCAGACCTTCTTGGAATTAATGTCAGGGATTCTGGGGTTTTTTTTATTATTATTATTCTGTTCATTGTAATTACAAAATAAAACTTGTAACAACAATAAAAAACCACAATATATATTTCTTAATCTGCATCCTGGAAAATAATACTTGCTAGTTCAGTTATCGTTGGTGGAGGGACTCAAGAATCTTCCCAGTGAAGCTCTGCACTGTGAAGATAAACAATTCTAAAATCTACTCACACATATCTTTGTGTTCATGTATTTACAGGTGACCCAGCTGGATCCAAATAAATCATTACTGGAGGTAAAACTGTATCCTCAAGAAACCCTTTTCCTAGAGGCAAAAGAATAGATTAAACAAGATTGTAGGACTAATCATCCTTTGATAAGCCAGAGGCACAGCATCGAGAGGAAGACTTCTCTGAGCACCACCTTGTACTGGCATCCAGCTCAATTCCATGTCACAAGTTTGCCTCTTGCAAGAATCCTGAAAAATTGAGAAAACCAACATAGCTACTTAAAGTTTCACATACATGAGTATATGTTTCCAACCTCATTTAAATGAGCAGAGGATAAAGTTCTGCTATGAACACTGAACATTATGATTCTGTTGCTCACTTATCATCCAGCTTTTGTTATAATTAATGCACTGTTAAAATGTGAGTGATTGTTAAGTAGAATTTTTACTCCTCAAATGCCCCTTTTTCACCAAGAAATCTTGGACATTTCTGCCTGTACTTTTGACACTAGAATGCTGTATATTTGATATCTCACTGAGCCAGTGCTCTCATATATATGCATTTTATTTCTGTGTTTGAATTTCTACTTTGTCAACTAATTTAAAAAGGCAGAAAAAATTAATGGGACATTCTCAGCCATGGAAATTTAACAGTATTATAGTAGAAAGCATATAATTTTTGTTAGTACTTTCTGACTTCTTTGATAAGATGTAAGGTTTTGTTTGGAGAATATAGTTTGACATATATGCGAGATATTTATTTACTGGTTCTGCTTTGGGTCTCAGTTCCAATTCAGTTTAGGAAGTATTTTCCATTACATTGCAGTGTGAAACTGCTTATTGCATGATGTGAATATTTAAATAACATTAGACATGGCCAGTACCAGAAACCTGGTATCTTGCCAACACTTCAGGAATCAGCTGATATTGAATATCAGCTGTTAAAAACCTTTCAAATACCAGATACAAAAGTTCTTTATTTCTCCTTGTGAAAGAAAGGGCAGTTCCCATTTTAGCAGTTTTTCTTCATTCTGGCATTTGCTTGTCTCCTATTACTCTGCTGGTTTAAAGCACCGTGTTTGGTTCATCAAACAATGGGTATTTTAAGGGGTGGTGTAATAAGAAATCTGCCTTATTGTTGCACACTTTGGACATTTTAACAATACATTACTGATCCCATCTCAAATTAAAGAAATCGTAGTTCTCTTGTCTGAAATGTATGCAGCAGCTACCTGACATGGAAAAATCCGGTACTTTGAATTTCTCAACCATAAAATGAGCATACTAAGGCTAAGACCATAATGTGCAGTTGATGCCAAACCTGCATCAAAACTGGTTTGTTTGGTGTTTTTTGTCTTTTTCTTTTTTTCTTTTTTTTTTTCCCTCCTTTTTTTTCCCCTCTTTTTGTTTTATCTCTGGGCTTGCAGGATAGCACAATAGCACTACAGGATCATCATCTGCTAAACTACTTTTTTTTTTTTTCATTTAAAGCCTGGCACATTGTTTTCCATCTATGTTTATATGTAATTCATAGTGTTTATTGTAGCTGAATGAGTTGTGATTTGAAAATTTTATACTAAGCTAAAACCAGTTGCACACATCTTTTTGTCTTTCTTTTTTTCTTTGGAAGGATGGTGATATAAAATTAAATGTATGCCTATTATTAAGATGTTAGTGATGCTGATATATTGTTACCTTTACCAAAAATGCGAATTTCTGAGTGGGCAAAGCCTTATTCTACCTTTTATAATTCTGTAATTAGTGAGTGCTACTCCAGACACTTCTAGAAGTGAAGTATCTATGACAAACAAAAGATTTAGAAGTGTAAGCAAATCCTAATAATTTGCAGTTCACAAATAAAAGAATTCCTAGCCAATAGAATGATAAATGTATGTGTAATGGCAAGCTGAATGCAGACGCTTCATTCTGAACTTTCATTTTCTTACAAAAAAAAAATAAAATTCCACTGCATTTATTAAATAAGAAATTAACATGGGTTGCAAATTGGGGTGATGCCGTTTCTACAAACAATCACAGTAAAACATACAGCAGGATTTTAAAGTGATGCATATCTTTTTTTCTTTTTTTTTTCCCTTCTAATCTGGTGAGGAAAGGAGTTGCTGAAATTGTGCTTCACAAAGCAAAGCGACCTTTCAGCTAACTTGTTTATATTAATTTGTTTAACTTCTGTTTGATCTCATCAGGCTGTTTTCTCTCATTCAACTTGATTTCTGTATTTTGACTATATATTCTTTACTTTGATACTAGTTTTATAAAGTTATTAAATGTGGCTTGAATATTTGTTGAACTTGTTGAAGTCAGTGCTCCCAGGGTTGTTTGGCCTTTTTTTTTTTTCCTAAACTCTATTATTTTTTTCCCTCATTTTGTTCATATTGCAAAATACACTGTCATTATCAAAATGTTCTAGTGATAATTAACTGGAAGTGTTCAAATTGGTGGCATTACTGCCCTCTGATATAAAGATTCTGAGATCAGTATACAGGGATCATTCTGCCACGACGTAAACAAGTGTATCGCTCTTTAAATAAAACGTTAATGATTTTGGTCCTTAAATACTTTGGGCCTGATTTCAAGAAGCAACCATGTCGAGTCACCTTTCTGAATCACACCATCAACATAAACCAATCCCTGTGTAGGAATATTAATATTCTATGCCATCATTTTCTGCTCTCCTGGTATTCACTTCACACGCTCTGCTGGCACGGATAATCCTCTAGTCATTCAAATTTTGTAATTCAGTATTACCCTAGAACTGTAACACCACTGCTACGGAGCACATCCCTGATTCTGCCTTTTTATCTTCAGGTTCTTCACATTAATGGATTACCATTAAGGTGATTAATGCATTAGTTTTAAGTCTTAAGGAATTACTGTTGCTGAAAGGAATCCCGCGCAATGCGGCGGCTTCCGCTACTCGTGGGGTGAAGGTGGGGCACGCTCTGGCTTTGAGAGAAACGTTCTGCCTGTTGACAGTGGTGTTTGAAATCATTATTAGAGAGCATGCAGAACACAAGTGTTTGCTCTCTGCTCTCTGCACATGCACCCTTTGACTCCGTGGGAGTGCTGAGAATGTTTCTAATGCAGCTGTGTTGGGGGGTTTGTCTATTTTTAATGTAGCAGAAGAGGACTTTGGCTTTCATAAACTGTACCTACTCAGTGACATTAGAAACTTAAAATAAATTTTCAATTGCAGCAATATTTCTACTAAACAGTTATGTGATTTCACTCTTCCATATGTGGGGAAAAATCAAATCACAATATCCCAGAGTCACGGAACTGAAACGCTTCATTATCCAGGCCTCGTGTCCAGGCTCCCCAAACAATGCCTGAGAGGATTTCAGTGCCTTAAAACAGCTTCCACAGCAAGCACAAAACACATAAGGTGGAAGAGTCGCTACCAGGCAGAACCAGAACCTGCTTGGAGCAGTAATTCAGAAATGCTAAAGATGGAGATGTTTTATGTGTCCGTTCCTCCCTGGGTCAAAGGCTCCCCCCTCTGCTCTCCTGCTCCTGAGGGCTCTCAGCGCTCCAGCTGGGCACTGGGGGAAGCACCAACACTTTCCACTGTTTGACAAAGCAGAGGATACATTTTTATTTGGAAACAGTGATGGTGACCTCCTCCAGAGGAGGAGTTTTCACTGATTGTAATTCACATTTTGGTTTTTCCAATATTGTGAGGGCCTGAGGAGAAGCGAGTCCCTGTGCTGGACATTGTGTACTCTGCTTCAACACCACCATAGCAGAGCTACTTTTAGTGTGTGTGCTGCCCACTGGCAAAGCTGTTTGACTGCCAAAATGCAGAATTCCTTTAAGGTCCTTAAAAGGGAGGGTGCAAATCAGTCTTTAGGCTGGCAGCTGGGTGCTTGCCTGGGGTGAGCCAATCTAGCCCTTGACAGTGGATGTTCATTGCAGCCATTGGTCTTTTTGAACAAAAGAGCTGAGAGTGGAAACTGGATGTTGATTCTGCACCTGAGTTTAGTTTTATTATTCTGTTTATATAAAAGAGAAGGCAAGTGCAATAGCCTTAATTATAATTTTTTTTTCTGGATGAAAGAAAGTAGAAATTACTGCAGACTATACACGGCATGAGACATTGTTCTCTATCTGCAACTATTTCCCTCACAGACGACAAAGGTGGAGGAATATCAAATTTATCACTAAACATGTCAGGATCCAGGCAGGTTTATACTCAATTTAGTTTAATATAGATGTATACTTCTGCCAGAAGAGCTGTTTCTGCCCCCACCTTGTGCTGGAACCAGGCAAACTAATTAAAAAGTGACCATTTTTTTTCCAGGAGCAGTTTGGAGGCTGATACAGCTCACTGATGGGAGTCAGTGAAGATGAGAGGAAGACCAGGCTGCTCCCTCTGATAGCACTGCTGATTTATGTGGGATGAAATCAGTCAGATTCCTTAATTTTATTTTTTTTTTAATATCATATTACTACGTTTGCATTTTACATCCTTTTTTTTTTTTTTTTTTAATTCAAGCGAATTAAATGCTATAAAGGTTTTGCTGTCTGAAATTTCCTTAAATCTTGTCAAAGTTGACAGCCCAGAATTCAAGAAATGAGGAGGCAGATGAAAGGTCCCTTGAGTGTGTGCAGTGAAGGCAAGGCTCACTCCAGATCCAACTCTTGGGTGTCACGCCAGACCCAAGCACCCTAAAAGTTTCAAAGGGTTTTAATGTCTCATTAGATACCAGAGAATCCACTCCTTAGTCAGGGCTTTCCTCTGTGGATTCTTTTATGTGTAATAAAGACTGAAGTCACACTGCAGCCTTAATATAATTCAATTAAAATGTCACTCAACTGCTGGTTATAGAAGGAGGCTTCATTAGTTCCTGTGATTACAAAACTCCTGGTTAACAGGATCGTTATTTTGTACTTGGTACCACTGAGTTTCCTTTACTGTGTTCCCAGCTCCATGTTGTGACAGTGTTCCACAGGATTCCACAGATCATCGCTGTTCCCTTTCTATCCACTCAACTTGAATGGGTTTGTGTTATTTATTAATATCAGCAGCTCACCACTGATCCCTTTCTCCAGGTAGTGGTGTCTGAGTAGCTTGAAGAACACAAGTTCCCACACAGATTCTTGGGGACATGGCTGGAATCCTCTCACTGTGAAAATTGTTGCTTTCTGCTTCCAGCAAGAAATCAATCTTGGATAATGTTACTTTATTTTTTAATTTTTTTTTTTTTTTGTAACTCAAGAAAATGTGTTTCCACTGTGGGAAACATCACTACAAATGAGTAGCTTAGTTTTTCTATTTTTAATAAAAAGAGTCTTTTACACCATAAAAATACAGTAGTCCGATTATCTCCTGGCAGGTTTCCTGTTTCTGATATTTTTAATAATCCTTTACCTCTTTGGTAGTTGTTCCTTGCAGTCTGGCAGTTTTTTAATTCAGGTGTGTTCCAAAAGTTAAATTTCCATGGACTTTCTGATTTTCTTTTCTAGTTTCCTGCTTGAGTCTGTCTTCCAATTACACCCTTTAATGTGCTGGTTCACACAGCCCAACTACTTCTTGTGGGCATTCCATAGTCTTTTTAAGTCAGATAATGTGTACTCTGAGGATCTAAGATGGTGTCTTCAAAAAGTTTTGGTTACAATCCTAGTCTTTAACCTGTGATTTTAATTTCTCTTTGTTATCTTCCTTTTAATGCAGTTTTCTTCTAAAAGGGTAGTGCTACTCGGGAGATTGTAAAAAATTATTTTGTAAAGTAGTGAATGTAAGCATGCTTTCATTCACCTAAAAATGTAGTTTCTATAATTTTATTTGCCTTTCTGCTTTATTTAATCTACTGTCACAGTCCCTGTTAGCATGAGTTACCATCACTCATAAGTATTTTATACCTTGTAATTATGGAATCCTGCTCATGATCTTGCCTTTTCTAAATTTACAGTTTTAAAAGAACTCATTTGTTGTCATTTGAAAACCCCCATTCTGTTGCAGCCATTTTAGAAGCTTAAAAATTATTCTGATGTGTACTTAGGAATATTTTTCATTTTGTCTAGGCCTATTTGCCTGTTTATGTGTCCTGATTAATTAAGACTGATTGCATAAGGGAAAGCATTTCCAAGCTGTGGTGGCAATGGAGAAAGAATTTTGTTTAATGACAGCTATAAACCCGCTGATGCAGAAGAACAAAATAATTTATAATTTTGTGGATGTAATAAAGAAAAAGGCGGGGGGGGGAGGTATTTTTTAGAACTGAAGTATAACCTGCACTCTGTTGCTCGAATACACTTCTTCGAGGTTTAGACGAAGGTGAGTCAGACATTGCGTGGTTGTTGCGGTATCGTCTAACGTGGGAAAACCGAACCAAATAAACAAACAAAATCACAAAAAAAGCGATCCCCGCCTTGATGCGAGTCCCCCCGAGCCTTCGCACCTCTCAGCTCCCGGGAGATGTTGGGATGTTGGTTTGGCGGAGCGGGGTGGGGACCAAGGCACATCCCGGGCGGGACGGAGCCGGCGGGGCAGAATTCCCGGGGGCAGCGGGGCCGCTTCCCTTCCTTCCTTCCCTCCGGGGCTCCGCACCCCGGCCCGGCTCTGCCCACAACTCCGCCAAAAACTATTTTAAAAAATATTTAAAATATAATTAAAGTGAAATCAAAATAGGGGAAAAGCCTCGGTGCCGCGCCTTTCCCCGCGGGTGTGGGCGGAGATGGGGCCGCTCAGCCCGGCGCTGGGCGAGGGGCGCGCAAGGAAAAATTGGGTATTCCCGGGGGAAAAAAACCAAAACAAATAACGAAACAACAACCCACGGAAAAACAGCCAGCCAAACAAACAAATGGAGCCACACGCTCCGGCATCGCCCCAGCGCTGCGCGGTTCCGCGGGGCTGATGGCACTGGACGGTGCCGTGGGAGATTGCGGATGGTCCATCAATAACTTCAAAGTCTGCGTTTGTATAAGGGCCCCTTAAA